TACTCAAATATATGCTGGTACAGACCGATATTGTGTTCATGCATTGTAGGTGATGAGGCTGACGTTCCTTCTTTCGGGTCGCTTTATCCCCTATAAACGTGTACCAGGTTCCTTGTGGGCCGGTAAGCAAAGGAAAATACCCAGACTGACCGCCTCACGTAAGGCAGCCTTCATGGATGAGCTTCTCCTGGCCCAACAAAATGAGCGCTACCTGTCAAAGCCCTTTATCGGCCAAGAAGCAGAGGCTACAACTCTGCCTGCCGAACAGGTACCCATTGCACTACCCTATTCTTATCTAGATCTTAGGCAAAAGAATTGGCAAAGGAGAACGAGACATTCTACAGGATTTACGAGGCGAAATTCCGGACCCGATTCCCCAACCGTAGATTGGAGCACTTCTGGTCCCATCTTAACGTTACCAAAAAGTTCGATATTTGAAACCCATCTTCACGCCGAATAATATGTGCACTCCCACACCCGTTCTCTTGCCACTGACTTTAAACCGTTGAGGGCAAGCATCTTACCATAGCATTTAGAATCGTTAAATGCTGCAGTCGCCTTCCACTTGTAATTTCCAAAGGGTCCAATCGAGCACCCAAATACGGCAGTGAAGAAATGAACAAAGGGTGTGCTCGAAAAGCATGGAACCGTTTTGTACACAAAAGAAATAACTGGACAACGATCGACAGGAAGGGAGGCGGTGCACATTTGCACTGGGACACAACATCAGGAATGTTATCACAACAAGGCTACGAGACAGCGACAAATGAGCAGCGCAGTAATGAAATAAGCAGGACGGCTGGATTGACAGATGTAACCCAGTCGGTTAATAGCCGGGTCTCTGCATAGCAGCCTGGGCAGCACCCATTGCTGCGCCCGCGGCCATGCGGTCCATCGTGGAGTCGACACCATAGGCTGGTGCGACCGGAGGGAAGGTGTTTTCTATCCCTGAGTATGCTGATCGCTGTGTGTTGTGCAGTGCCGAATCAGCCTGCAATCCTGCTCCGCTCTGCAACCGCGCCCGCCTAAAAGAGATGACACGCCGACTCACGCAAATGTATGTGCATTTTCAGCCGCGTGACTAACACGAACAATATTTCATTTAAATAATGAAGTAGTTCAATAGTAGACGTGTTCTGTGGGAAGTGAATGAGACAAACTCAAAAAATCCACATGTGCACTATTGAGTGCACCTTTCAGCTCCCAAGTCTGTCAAAACTCGCGTGCTACAGTCTCCAACGTTGTGGATGATAATCTTACTTATTAACCAGATTCAGAGGTGATGAATCCGGTGTGAGTGTAACCCAACTCTAGCAAAACAATTCTATGGGAGACGTCACAAAATAACTGCAGTCGAATGCGCTGTGACAATCCTTTAAGAATCTATGGGACGGCTGTAAAAGTCGGTTCAATATTTGGCGTTCCTTCCTTTCCAGATTCTAAATCGCAATATCGAAATTTGCTTAATTTTAATTTTAATTCGACAAACGGTCCTACAGTGCTTCTTTGCATAGGATTTTGAGGGTGCATGATGGCGCAATGACCCACTCAAAATGGTTTAA